ATAAACTGCTTACGTTGCAATAACAATAACAAATATGGCGGACAAGATTTAGCCGATAAACCTAAACTTTAAAGAACTTTTATCGGTGACTAACATACTGAGACTAAAGAAAAACCAAAGAAAAAATGCAGTAAAGGTAATGTAGACGTAGATAAAGAAGTATTTTCTTGCCCAGTGATTTTTTTGGCCGGGAAAATGTTCACAAAACATCGACAAATATATCGCGAAGAGCTACAAATGTGTGTATGGCTCGGTGTATGGGATAAAAACCAAACGTACTTGCAGGTTCGGTGAGTCCGGGATTGGACGCACCTCCCTGCAAGTACGTTTGTTATAATATCTCATACCTAGCGTATTAGCGGCTTTCCTATTGGCTACGAGGAGGTGCGTTCAATCTCGAACCCACCTGCTGACGTATGTTTAGGAGGTGGGTTCGAGATCGATGTTTTGGCGGAGGCCATTATGAAGCGATTTGAAAAAATTTCCGACGAAGATGTAAATAAAAAAATAAATTAACTGTTTTGAATTGTTTTATAATTATTATTTTTTTTATTTTGTTTGATGAAAGTGGAATATTACTTCTGTATTCAGAGTGGAAGAGAAGAAAGATGGCCGCCGAAATTTGTTCGGCACGGGCAGGTGCCCGTATAAATCTTGGCAATGTTTTCGCAGAATGTGTTAATTTTCTCTTTTCAAAAATAAGGAAATATTGTAGAGAATTGTTTTAGTTTCAATTTAAGCCTAAGTTTGTTTGTTTGCGTAGTATGTTGGCGACTAAAATGTTCGTTGTCCAAACAAGAAATTATGTACTAAAATGCGTAAATTCATTAGTGCTTTTTACCAAAATGGCATGTGATAAAAACCAAGTTTCCCGAACCCACCTCGCTTCGCTCGGTGAGTTCGGGAAACGTCCAGCCACCCTCGGTTCGTCCAATCGCGGACTCATCTCCCTGCAAGTATGTTTGTTATAGAACCCACCTCCTAAACACATGTCAGCAGGTGGGTTCGAGATTGAACGCACCTCCTCGTATAGCCAATAAGAAAGCCGCTAATACGCTAGGTATGAGATAAAGCGTTTAGTCGTGGGAGTATAAAAGTATGTAAATGTAACGATTAATGCGTCTATTTACGCACTATATAGTATGTTAGTAATGTAAGCAAAATGGGTCTATACTTTTATGATTTATAGGCGAAGTACAACTTTCCAATCTCCTAAATTTTATCTATTGACTTTTTCACCTTGAGTATATATAAGAGCTCAACTTTTCCGTAAAAGTATATATTCATTTTATCGCATATAGGGCAAATATTCGACAAACTGTAGCATTTCAATAAACGAGGTCAAGCATTCATCATAGAAACCTACTTATATTTGTTGAAAACCAGGTTAAAAACACGCAGAATGAAGGTAATCTTATATTTACCACTCTTCAATATCTACATATAACATTAAAAGTGAAAGTTATTATGTTTTTTTTTATTACGTCAACTACTAGAATAAATACTTATTTCTGGACTTATTCCGGCACTGCTTTCCCCAACATGTCCAATGATAAGGGGCCGGGGTGAATAAAGGTCTACATATCTCCGTGACTATATCTACAAGTTAGGTTTTTATAAATGTTTTGTACCATGATACACGTTCATGGTGGTCAAATACATTCACACCTGTGAAAGGGAATGATGCCAAGGCAGTTCGTCAATTCACCATCACGTGCCGTACACTGTCTCAGTAAAACCCACAAACAGGGATAGGTTAGTCATGTACATTAAAAATCATCCTTTTTTTATAAAATATTTTTACAGTTCCTAGAAGTTTTGGTTCTGTTTACAATTGTTCACTCTTGACTGACATTTCATCAGTGTAGATGGCAAAGATTGCAACTTCATTAATTTTGGAGTTTATAGTTGAATCCTTGATATCCTTGTCTTGCTCCTTGTCTTGCCCTGTAGTCTGCGAAGGTATGTCCAGTGCAGTGTCCTCTTCTTTGACTTTGACAACGGATACAAAACCATTCAACACCAATAGAGTGGCAAGGTAGATAAACACCATAGGAAGAACAAGCAGTCCTTTGTCTCCTGTGTTGTCGGGTATTACATCAATAATTGTAGCTGCCAGCCCTATAACTCGGATAGAACTCACTATTGATAATGTCACAGTTGATTTTTTTGAAAACCAAGGTAAGAGTGAGATAAGACCATAACTTGATAGAGCATTAAATGTTGTAAGACTTGTTCCAAGTGCAACCACGCATAGAATGTTTACGACGGAAACTTTGGCTAGAAGATTTGGCAGGAATAATCCAATAAGGAAGTTTTCTCCAAAGTATTTTATTGTATTGTTCCATTTTTGACCACTTTCTTTACAGGGGGCACGCAACGCAAACATCTTCCAATATTTAAATGAAAAAAAACATAAGAATAGTTGAACAACTGAAAGCGATTCGGTTAAAATAATGGTTAACGGGATTAAAGCAATTTAGAAATTCCTAGTTCTAAATAATGTACAAAATCGTCCCGTGTCTAGGTTCCTATACTGAACATTACTTGTTTATCAGATTGTTTAACTAATGATACAACTTTCGAAATGTTAATTGGATTTTGAAGCAAGTAGAATGTTGAAAACCAATGTCAAAAAATGTTTCATAAAACTACAGACTACAGTACATACAGTATACTCACCACTAAAGGCAACAGTACTCTGAGTATAGTATCCAACAACACTTGACCAACATTTAGACCAACATGTTGAAAGGTTTTAGAAACCATGTCAACATTGGAGGGATGGTAAATACAGCTGTAATGGTGCACAACATTGCAACCAAGATACTCAAACCTCGGTGACCGTTTGCTGCTGTTACCTACAGTGAATATTTAAAAATAAACGTTGGCAAGGTTTGAACGCATGGGTTACTCCAAGTATCTGTGCGTTTCAAATTAAACCCCAAACATTGCAAGGAGGGTAATTGTGGCAAATGTGCCATAGTCGTAGAAAACATAATATATGCTCACGATTTTCTCTAAACTGTTCTAAAAATTCGTACCATACAATTCTATTACACCCCATCTACCTCGGGTAGTTTTATACCCATGAGTCATAACTTGCAGAATACTTCAATTTACTGGCTACAGTACTCAAAATAGCCTTACTATATAGTGTTCTTTATAGTGTACTAATATATATTTAATAAATGAAACTGCATGTTCTTCATGAGAACCTTTTTCCCTCTAGTTCTAATTAACATTAACTAACTTACGAGGACGAGTGACGTAGCCGGGGCCGTTGGACACATGCAATACATTTGCAAAGCAAGACGAAATTCCTCCGGCCCAAGAATTGCCATTTCTTCGGAGGAATTCGAACTGTACGTTTCTCAAATTCTGCTCATCACCAATTAATGAACCAAAGTTTGGGACCTGGTTCAGTACGTTTGTTGCAAAAATTGGACCAACAAACAGGACCAAAAGCAAGCCAACGACGACCTCTTTATAAAATTTGACCGCAGACTTTGCTTCAACAAGACGTATCCGTACCCCAATGGTGAGAAAGAGAACAATGATGCAAATTTTTGCAACTGGCATTCTTTGGCTGAGATAGATTGCAGGTTGAGGAAGAAATATTCCGATGATTATGGACAATATGATTCCAATAGCTAGGTAATTTCGCATACAGAAATTCTTAAAACTTGTTAAGATACTTGTTTTTTTGAAATCTTCATCAGCTTCTTCTGCTTGCACCACTTCTACGACCACATCAGATTGGGCCATTTTTCACCTCGAGTATATGAGTACCGTGCAGTTGAAGGTGTTCAACTCAATTGGATGTTTTGGGAACACCGATATATTAAATGTTTATCTACACGTACACTTTTGAATTTTTGATGAGTTTCGATCACGTATACGGGTGAAATTCCACAAATACCATCGTATTTCGATTGTTAGATGAAGTCATGAAAATTTCAAGAGGGTGCATGTTGCCTCACGTTTCGACAAGCAGTGAATATAACTGAGCTGGAAGGTTTGTAGTTAGCCTACGTTTTGATGAAGAAATGGATATCGAGAATAAAATTTCTACGTGATATAACATTTCTCGCTTATATAATCAATTTAAACAAAGCTATAAATAGCGGTTAATGAAGTAATATGTTCTAGAACATTCCATTTGCCCGAGAGTGTTTTCAGTCTACCAACACATCTGCGTCACAAAAAGCAATCCGTACAAGGTCCAAGTACCTTGGCAGAACAAGGAAACCGTTTTCTATTCCGGTTAATATTACAAAATATCAGATAAAAATCGAACTTTGGCTACTAAGCATGTGAACAACTGATGCTAACTTGAGATTAACCAATCAGAAATTATCCTGAAGGTTTTCCTTCACGTGCATACATACAATGCCCCCCTTCTTGCGCAAGGACTTTTGATCGTTTCGACGTGCATTGTTTATTCGCAAGACTTTAGCCAGTGCGTTAACATCTCTGGCAAAATTTTTAGCTGATAATTCAAGGGATAAAAAGCTTGGCAAAGAAGTGAAAGTTTGGAGAAAAAAACCCCGCCCACCCAATAATCATGTACACCAATCTGCGTTTCTACAATGGCGTATTGTAAGGACTGTTAACTAGTAAAATGGACGTTCCTGTTAGACATGTTACTCATAGATTTGTAACCCACTTGTGTAAAAAAAATGCAATAAATATTTAATTACTGGCAGGGAAGTGCTGTCCGATGGACAACACTTCACCACGTGAAGCGCAATCACTGCTCATTCAGGTCGCACTGAAGACCTGAATGAGCAGACCTAGAGACTCGATGTGGTCAATCAGGTTATCAGTTGCGGCCCGGGGTAATCTGCTCTATACCAGTCCAACTAGGTCTCAATGTCGGCGGCCTGACGGATCTGCATGAACGGGGATTCGCCTGTTCCCCTGTTATCTAGAGGTCCGCATGTTCCTCTAGAACAACCGTTTTTGCATGTATCCTCAGCCAGCTTTGAGTACCCTGGGTAATGTGCCCTATACCAATTGTTGTTCACCAGTCCAACTAGGTCTCAACTCGCTGAATGACATGCTCAGAGTCAAGCATGCCCTCTGAAAGAGAGAGCAAGGTAAAACAGAGAGCCATGGGTAACAGGCAGTAGAAAATAATTAATAAACAAAAAATAATGCTCTACAATGCGCGTTTAGTCGGGCGTATAAAGTATGTAAATATAATGATGTCTATTTACGAACTAGTATGTTAGTAATGCAGCCAAAATGTGTCTACATTTATGATTTATAGGCGAAGTATATAACTTTGCAATCTACCAAATCTTATCTATTGACTTTTTCACCTCGAGTGTATATAAGAGGTCAACTTTTCAGTAATGCGCAGTTGAAGGTGTTCAACTCTACAGGGTGTCTCAAAAAAAAACCAAAATCATTGAAATAACGTATTGTTCGAATTTCAATGCCGTAACACAAAGGATTTTGACAGGGTGATTAATTTGTTTTAAAAAATTAAAATATCTTTGTAAGTGAACGTTTGTTTGCTCATGGGAATTTAAAAATGCTTCGTAAATTGTAATATGCGTAATATGCATTCGTGGGTTT